TTAGAGGAAGCAGAGGCGCAGGTGGCCGGGGCCCGATGCCAGGGCAAGTCAGTGGCGTTCGTGCCCAGCAGAAGAGGCTGCTCTCCCTCGTGAAGGCCATGTCGCTGTGACAGCGAATGGACACAGCGACACCTCACTCAAACTTGCAATCTTCCGGCCTCCCCAATAACTCAGATTACAGCGTGCGCCACTATGCCCATTAAAACTCCATCTTTTTTTTTTTTTTTTTTTTTTTTTTTAATAACCGGGAACAGAACTCGGGACCTTGCACTTGACAGGCAGGCGGCGGCATCACTGAGCTAAATCCCCGGCCCAAAACTCCATTTAAAAGAGGGAAAAGAATATATGTATCCGAAAAGTTCAGAGGCCAGATACACAGGAGATATTTTAGGAATGGCCTCTGAGAAGTCAGCTGCAGAATTCTGGGTTTGGACATGGCCTAGCCCTCGTGTACCTGCCAAAACAATGAGCCAGCCACTACTGTGTCAACCCTGATGTTGATCAAACAATACCACCGTGGCCCTTAGACTCACTCTTCCCTGCTAGGCTGCTCTCCAAGCGTTTGGGCTCGAAATTCTACCCTTAATGCTGGGGGCAGGGGCAGGGGTACGGGGGAAATCACCTCCTCCTCAACAACCTGTCCCTATGGATGAATCCTTGGTTCAGTCACCTGAACGCGTTTTAATCACAGTCCAGCCCATGCACATACGGTCCATCCAGGACATCTTCCAATATGGTGGAAAACACACTATGGCCATCCTACAGGAAGTGCCAAATGGGGAGGAAGTAGAGGTGGGAGGCTGGCTGAGTGGGGCAGGCATTGGTGTGCGTCACTCTTCGAGCCCGCCTCAGCTCTGGGTGGCCACCTAGCCACTTACTATGATTTGAGGATTCAGATGTGAATATCCTAAGCAGGGAGGAGGTGAGAACTGGCCACGGGTGAATTTGAAACAAAAAGGGCTCAAGGCTGTCCCCAGCCCAGTGTCTGCTGTGAGGAGGTGACCTGTCATAGAGTAGAAGGTGCACACACCGCTAGCAGGGAGGTGGTGGGCCTGCAAAGCGCGCCAGTCAGGGCTCCCTACGCCAAGTCAGGAAGCACTACAACCCTCCCTAGGCAGCCCAGCAATTATAGGAAGCCTGGAGGGAAACCACAGAGTGTGTGGTAAACTGCAGGCTATGCCAGGGATGCCAAAGCCCAGCCAAGCGGTATACAGGGCAGGAGTAGAGACCTGGGGAATACAGTCTCCAGTTCTACTTTCAAGCACCTTGATTTGAATTTCTCGGGAGGAAACAGTGAATGTCCCAGAACCTCATTGCCAGGACAAGGAAAGCGCCACAGCCTTCTGGTCCTTTTCACATAGGTCACCTTTCTTCACAAGCTCCGAGCGATGAGTCACCTGTACATACAGCAGCAACAACGGCCATGCCCCATCTCATGCCAAGATTGGCACCCAGGTGACCCTCAAGAGCCCACTGCCCCAAAGCCAGGCCCATTTTGGCCTGCTCACCACAGGGGCCCTTTCAGACGCAAGCTGGTGTTTTTCAGTACTGTTCCAGGGAGCAGTGAGTTGCCTGACCAAGGTCAAAGGGAGGGCCCCAGACAAACTCCCAGCTCTCTCTAGTGAAGGCAGTCAGTTCTGTGGCACCTGTGCCCTCTGGGGCTGCCTGTCTGGACTGTTTTTTACTTGCTGTCTGGCTGTGTGCCCAAGTCAGATGCAGAATCAGGGCAGGCACTACATGGCCACCAATCAGACAGGGAAAAGGCAGGAGACATCTCAAAGGGGCCAGGCTGTACTCTCTCCCACTCAGGTGCCAACCTGGAAGTACAGTACCCAGGACTCAGTGCAGACTCAGTGGAGAGCAGGGGTGCACCGTGACATAGCCAAACACATCACTGGAAGACAAGGACATCTTGGGACATAAAGTTACCAAATTGCCCTGAAGAGAACAGATGCCAGACATGATCTGTGGATACTGGTTCAGTGAACAGGAATGACACGCTGGTCGTGGGGCGGTCGCTTCAGGTGCTTTATTAGGTTCCACTGCAAGGCTGGGGTCAAAGTAATGCTAGTTCAGACCCAGCCAACATATACCTGTGAGCCCAAAGCAGAGCCGAAGCAGAGCACCTATGTCCCAGAAGCAGACTGTCGGAGTTGGGCTGGGTGAGTGGGGCCAGACCTCGGCAGCTGCTGTATTCACTGAGTGTGCACTCAGGCACCCCTCTCTGGGCTATGGTACCTGCTGGCATGAGCGAGGATGTCCACAGGGGATTCAAGGCAAGGCCAGAGCCACTCCCGTGTAAGAGGTGAGCAGCCAGGCCTAACCCTCAGTAGGGCTCACCAGCTGGTAGCATTAGCTTGACTCTCTTTGGACAATAAAATAAAGTGCATTACTGAACAAAGAGTAACTCAAAACCATAAGCAGAGAAATCACAACACTTTTTCTTTAGCTAAAAGACAAAAGAAAACATGAACTATGTGGATGCCAGAACTTCAGAGCAAGAAAAATATTGGTTGAAGAGAAAAGGAAATGAACTTGGTGATAATGACAAGTGAGTGGGAGAGGAGACAATGGTAGCAGTGGCAGCAAGGTCTCTGGGAGCCTGCACTGTCCAGGGGCTGCCCCAGCTGGCATGAATGGCCTTGGAAGCAGGTGAGCAACCAGCACAGCATCCAGTCTCACAGCTGATCTGAGAGTGCGGGGAAGACAGAGGAGGACGAAGGCCCAGTCAAGGCAGCTCCAGGAGGCAGGCCAGACAGCCTGCCTTGGCACCATCTCCACTGCACACTGGCAGAGACAACTCACCTGGCTACTTCCCACCTCCTCTGACCCCCAGTGGCCCTGGGCTGACCTAACCCAATAGGCCCATAGCCCCATAGCCCCAGGAGCGAATGAAATAGCAGCCTTCATGAGATCCCACAGCAAGCAGACTGAGAGTGCCGGGAACAGCCACGCCATGGCACGGCAAGCAGGCCAGGTTTCTGTCCATAGGACCAAGGATGGGAGGACTTCGTGGGCTCATTACTCCAGGGCGACAGTTTCCCAACTACCTGCCGCTGGGTGGGCCTTTCCCAGGGCCAGCACAGCTGATTTGGCTCTCATTAAGGCAAAGAGGCATTAAGATGCTCACAGCTCGCCTGGAAAGGGCCAAACCACAGCCACACAGCACACTCGGGACCACTGGAACCTGTTCTGGGTTGCTGGACTTCACACTCTATCACCTGGTCAGGCCCCAGAGGTCCACAAGGCGCTCTACTCCAGGCCCATTTCAATGGCCACAGCACAGAGGCCGTGGGGAGAGGGACAATGTTGGGGAGAGAGGACCAAAGCCCCAGTGCTCACCCTCCCAGCTGTCTGGAGGAGCCACCTGCCAGGGAGGGAGGGCCACCACTACCGTTGCTCAGCTACCCACATTACCAGTTGCCACAACTATGTGGCTTGGTAGAAAAGTCTCAGGCACTGAGGTTTGTGAGGCGAACTGACGGTGGCCCCTGCCTACTCACCACCCTGAACACCCAGAGGGGCTGCACTGAAGGAGGGAAGAAGACACTAGTCTAATCTCTCTCCCTCCCTTTTGTGCAGTTTTATATTAAAAACAATAAATAAAAGTTTTCTGGGGCACAAATTACTAGTAACTGTTATTACAACCAATGCAGACTTTAAAATCCCACCTGGTTGCTGGGTGAGAGAAGGGAAGGCAGCCGCTAATTTGCAGGTCTACCCTAGGAGGCTGTAGCCTGGCCACACATAATCCCAGCAGATGACAGCCACTCACATGGGAGGGATGTGGCCCTCTTCGACACAGGGGCCCTACTCCAGAGCAATAGAAGTAAGAGGCAGCCAAGAGCTCCCAACCAAACAGACAGGGGTGGGGTGGGGTGTGAAGAACAGAACAGAAAGCACTGAGAGGAAAGGAAAACTGGTGGCAGGAGCCCTCCCCAGGTGAGAATGTGGCGGTGCCTGGTCCTTCCACTACGGTGGGGCTGTGCACTGTGCAAGGCGTGTGGGGTATTCCTAGGCAGGGCTGCTCGGCATTTCCAGTTGGCTGTGTTCAGGCCCAGCACACCTGCCAGAGCCACCACTCCAGGATCAGAGCTGAGAAGCTTTGGTGGGTCCAAGACACCAGGGCAGCTGGTCCTGTCGCTGCAGGGCTGCTGGCTTTGGCCATACAGGGGACATGTAACACTCCTGACTTCAGAGGGCTGGTCTGTCCCAGTCCACACAGCAGAGAGCCGGAGCCTTAGGTCCTGGGAAGGCTGCACATCTCACAGTGCCCCGTGCCCGGCTGGTTCATGAAGGTGCAGTGCTGACAGGCCCACATGGAGGTGGTGGCAGCGTGTGTGGAGCCTCCGACAGCGCCGTATTCATGGAGACCTGGGAGCTGCACACCAACAGTGCCTGTAGGAAAGGAAGAAAAGCGAGCTGTCATCACTTCTGCAGTAGACACTTTAACCCTGCCTGAGAGTGCTGTGGCACGGGCAGGAGCAGCACAAGAATACCCACTGCTCACACCAAACCTGTTGTCTGAATCAACCATGACGGCCTCCAGTGGTGAGTGCCCTGCATGTGTTCTCCCTGTTGCAGAGGAGCACTCCTCTGGCTGAGTCGTGACACCACTCTGGAATGACACTGGGTAATTTCCCAATAGCTTTTGGGGCAATTAGGACAAAGCTGCCAGAAACATTTTCACATAAGTTTTTTTTTTTAAACTTTTTTGAGATAGGGTCTCACTATGTAGGCCAGACTGGTCTTGAATTCTTACAGCCCAAGCTGGTCCCGAACTCACAGTCATCTTTTCTGCCTCAGCTTCCCAAGTGCTGTGCCACACTTGGCTCACATAAGCTTTTCGTAAGCCCATGTTTTTTGTGGAGCCCATGTTCTGGTGAGAGCCCAGCAGTGGGACTGCTGGGACACAGGGTAAAGTACATCAAGGTTCCTGAAGAACTTGTGGTAGCTGGTAGCTGTGTCATTTTGCACCTGAAAAGCGGGCTGTGGGTCCTGGCTGCTCCACGTCCAGGAGCACCTGGCACAGCTCATGTGAATTTCCCTGAAGATGCCAAGCATGATGCCAAGCACTCCTGCATCTCCTTTTGTGAAGTATCTAAGGCTTGCCTTTTGCTGTGTGTGTGTATGCACGTGAACATGGAGTATCGGGGACCAAACCCGGGGAATTTACACTTTTTCTGGGGGTGTACCAGGGATCGAACTTGGGACCTTGTGCTTGTGAGACAGGTGGTGGCAACACGGAGCTAAATCCCCAGCCCCTACACTTTTATTTATTTTTTTCTTTGAGACATGGGGCTGGAATTAAAGGTATGTGCCACCACATCCAGCTGTTTTCTTCTTCCTTGCTATGTATATAGTTTAACTGGCCCTGAATTGACATTTAGCCCAGGCTTTCCTCAAATTTGTAATTTTCCTGCCTCAGCTCCAAAGTGCTGGGATTATAGGAATGCACCACCATACTTGCAATCCTTTGCACTATTTTTACTTAATCCCTATTTGATTACTGAATGTCAATGTGCTTTGGATAGGGGGCCTATGCATGTATGCACTACAAATACTATTTCCTTAAATGAGCCTTTTCAAGTTTCTAGCAGTACCCTTCAATAAACAAGTACGTTTCGGTTTTTTTGTTTTTTTGTTTTTTTTTGTACTGGGGATCAACTGCTTGCAAGGCAGGCACGGTGCCACTGAGCTAAATCCCTGGCCCCCATTTCATTTTAAATAAAATCCAGTTTGCCAATTTTTCTTTTTCTTTTTTTTGGGGGGGGGTATCAGGACTCGAACTCAGAACCCTGTGCTTGAGAGGCAGACATAGCACCACTGAGCTAAATCCCCAGTCCAGTTTACCAATTTTTAAAACTTTTTTTTTTTGGTACGGGGATCAAACTCTGGACCTTGTGCTTACACAGCAGGCAGCAGAATCACTGAGCTAAATCCCCCAGCCCTTTAAAACGTTTTTTTGGTCCAGGGATATAGCTCAAGGGTGTTGCTACCTGCCTCACAAGCACAACGTCCTGAGTTTGATCCCTGGTACCACAAAAAACAAAAACCAAAACAAACCCCACATTTTTTACTTTAATTTTTTTTGGTATTGGGGATCGAACTCTGGCCCTTGCGCTTGCGAGGCAGGCAGTGGAACCACTGAGCTAAATCCCAGGCCCACAAGTTTTTTAAAGAAAGTATTTTTCTGTGTTTTGTCCCAATGTCCTAAATCCCATCTAAAAATCTTTTCTACCCCAAGGCCCTGAAAATAGCATGTATATCACATTCAGCAAGACATTGTTTTAGTTCTAGGCCTCATCATTAGGCCCACAAGCCCTCCTGAGCTGGTCTCTGTAAACAATGCAGCTCACTGCTGAGTTCCAGGTTCACTGGGTCCCCATGGACGCCCAGCTGTCCCAACGCAAGTCCCTGTGAAGGCTGCCTTCTTTCCAGGTTCCTGCTGCCAGCATCACCCCACTCTGGTGCCCTTCATGCTGCTCAACTTTACCTGGCCTCAAGCACTAAGCACTGAAGCTTTGAGTTCAGCAGTGCAAGGTCTCCAGGTCCTGTCCTATCTCTTAAGATTGTCTTCACTATTCTAGGACCTCTGTGCTAAATGAATGTTAGGACTTGATTTTTTTTATGAAAACAAAAACAAAAAGCTGGGTATGATGGTGCACACCTGTAATCTTAATACTCTGGGAAGCTGAGGCAGGAGGATCACAAGTTCAAGCCCAGTTTGAGCACCTTAGGGAAACCTTATCTCAAAACATTTTTTAAAAAGGTAAGAAAACTGACACCCTAAAGATATATTGACTCTTCCAGGCCAGAAAGATGGTATGTTTCCCATGTACGAGCTCTTCTGGCAACATACTAGCTTTCATCGCAGAGCTCTTGCCTGGCCCTTGTGTCTTGTGACACTGTCACAGACAGCACTATAGTAATTCCCATCAGTAGTCTATAACGGGACTGGACAATCAGATGCTGAATGGGTTAGAACAGTGAGCACTAAGGAACACAAGGACCTCTCAGGCACAAGTTGCTGCAGGTGCTGGCCAGGTCCTGTCACCTGCTGCCATGCGAACTGGGTTTTTACCCATTAAAGAAAGGGGCAGCATGGCGTGTCTCACAGCGATGGCAAAAACAAATCCCTTTTCAGACGGGGGTCTCTGGGATGTGAGGATACATCTATCTGGTGTATTCATCTACATTCGACTCACAGAGCCGAGCACAGCCACACCCCGTGCCGTGTCAGTGAGCAGGGCATGTGCCCAAAAGTGAGGTCCTGTCCATGCTCTTCCTCTCACCCCCAACTCCCAAGGGTGCACCAGAGTCAAAAGCCCAGGGTGTAAGGGGCTGCAGCTGCAGCCCAGGGTTGGGGGCACTGGACAGATACAATGGACAACTTACTACACAGCTGCTCGATGGTGGCCCACTGCTCAGACTTCTTCCACGTCTGTGCCAGCTCCTCATTTCTGGTCCTCACTGCCTCCAGTAGCAGGCTGATGCTGTCCTACAGGAAGACAAAAAGAAGGTTTCCTCTTGCTCTGCTCTTGCCAATTTTTTCTTCAATGTCAAGACATATTTCAAATAGGCTGCTAGTGTGGTGGTGCATGTGTGTAACTGCAGCACTTGGAGGCTGAGGCAGGAGGACTGTCTTGAGTTTGAGGCCAACCTGGGTTACAAAGTGAGTTTAAGGCCAGCCTGATCTACATAGTGAACTGTCTTTAAATCAGGCAATCAGATCGATCCAATGTCACCATGTAATACAAAATGCCACAACCTGGGTCTATAAACACAAATGTTAGAGTGAGCTAAAATTTAAATTCTTCCCCAATAGTCCCAAGTGGAGCAGGTGACTGCCTCTGTCATGGACCCAACAGCCCAGAGGTCAGAATTCTGCTCGTGCCTTGGTCCTAAAGGGACAGACAGACGGGAGCCCAGACCCCAGACTGTGAGACCTAGCCTCTTCTTCACACTGCTCTCTGCCTCTCTCTCTCTTCTCCACTGTGTCTAGAAAACACATTCTGCAGCCTAGGCCTCCAGGATCAACACACAGAGAATTACAATAGTGAGGGATAAAGACTTCAAGCTCCTCTTTTTTTTGGTACCAGGGATCAAACGTGGGTCCTTGCTCTTGTGAAGCAGGCTGCAGAACCACTGAGCTAGATCCCTGGGCTCCTAATACATTTAATAAATATTTTCTTTCCTGCTTTAAAAACAAGGACTGAACCCATATCCTTTGTTGAGCCACAGCCCCAGTTCTTTTTTATTATTATTTTGAGACAGGGTCTCCTACATGGCTAAATTGCCCAGGCTGGCTAGAATTTGTAATCCTCCTGCGTGCTAGCATTGCAGGTGTGCACCACACCAGGCTCTGCCAAATGTTTTTGAAGGATAACTGTGAAACAGTCACATTTACTAATAAGGCTGATCTGTCTGACACAGAGAGAGCCTTGCGTGTCATTCCTGACTCTGGGTGGGAGGGCTGACTCTGTGACAGGGGGAACTAAGGGAGGGAAAGAGGGTAGCAAAACCATGGGGTGCCTGATGCTGGTGGCTGGTGACAAAATAGCTACAAAATAAACCCAGCAGACAGCCGGGCGTGGTGGCACATGCCTGTAATCCCAGCACTTGGGAGCCTGAGGCAGGAGGATCACTGTGAGTTCGAGACCAGCGTGGGCTACATATTGAGTTCCAGGTCAGTCCCAACTGCATAGTGAGACCCTGTCTCAAAAATTAAAAAAAAAAAAAAAAAAAGGAGAGAGTTAATGGGCATGTAGCTCAGTGGCAGAACATTTGCTCAGAGTTCAATAAACTCAGCAGATGGAAGAACAGCTACAGACTGCCAGACACAAAAGAGCCCTAAGGGCTCCACTCTGTCTCTGGTGGGGGAAAGGTGCTAAGTAAGCGCTATCAGGTTCAGAACAAGGCCTCCCTCCCTCCCTGGTGTTTCTGTGAGTTTTGGGCAGAGAAGAAAGGATCTCAGGAGGACAGCATCCCATGGCACAGGCAGAAGACTCTTGTGAGACCCAGTGCCCTGCAACCCTGATGGCTCAGAGCACCTGATGTCTACAAAGCCTCGGCCTTCTCCTTCCCCATGGTGAGCCTCCCAAATGCCAACTGTGCAGCTGTGCATGTGGGGCCTGGGAGCTGGCCACCCCTCTCGACTGCGGCAATAAAATACACGGACTCAGGAGGGGAGGAGAGAGATGTCAGCAAAGAGCTCTTGAAATTGTCAGAGCAGAGACTGTCTATACTGTGGAGCCCTAGTCCTCCCAAATCCTTCATCTTCTAGGAGATTAGAGCCAAGACAGTCCTTTGCCACAGAGGCCACAACGACAGCATCCATCTCTCCATCACAGGCTGCCTGCAAAGCTGTTGTCCATACACATCCACACACCCCACAGGGAGATGCCCTTTGATGCCAGCTTCCACCCAGCTTCCCACACACTCTGGTTTGAGGAAAGAAAGCAAATCAAGGGGCATCTTTTCTAGCCTGAACCCTACCTGCAGAGGCATGACTTCATTGGTGACCAGAAACAGCAAGAGGTGGAAATCTGAGATGGTATCCAGGAACACAGACGAAGTATTCTGAGACAAATAGGTGGCCAAACTGTGGAAGTCCTGGAAACAAAGGGGCAGGCGAGAAGAAGAAACGCAGACACATTGTTACCACTTGCAAGGCCAGACCCTGGGGGAAGCTGCTGCCTACTAAGACAACATGTAATACTAAGGGGCATCTCACGCTCTCTTTTATAACCACTGAGAGGGTCCAAGAGGCACAAACAGCACGAGGTTGAGTATCTTGACTCTCCTAGGCAGGGGAAATGCTCAACACATCTGCCTGACAAGGTGTGAAAGGACCAAGGTGTGTGAGGAAGCAGGTATGTAAACTCACCCAGCACAAGATAGACAGAGGCCAACGCCCCATTCCTTTGAAGCAGAGTGGGTGAGGAAAAGGACCACTTCAGGTCAAGGTGCTCTTTCCTGTCTGGCTGCCCTCTTGAGCTAGGGCAGCAGAGTGTGGAGGTGGAACAGGGAATGCAGCCACGGCCCAACGTGAACATGTCCAATAGCATTGAGCACAGAAGCCTCACGGGGGCTCCCTTTACCTCAGGAGACAGGAGTGAGGAACCACAGCACCAGAAAGGCCTCACACTAGAAGACTTCACTATAGGAATTCCTCAGTCAAGCCCAGTCTTAAACATGGGTACCAAGATGCCATCTAGGAGGAGGTGGAGCCCAGACTGCCTGTAATGGCAATGCTGGTCAGGGTGGAACTGCTGGTGAGAACAGCTTAAACAACAAGCCCTTTGGTACTACACATCAGGCCACACTGAGGCCACCCAGCCCTGATGGAGCCAAGGGCCAAGAAAGGCAGTGAGGCAGGGCACAGCAACAGGGAAGCCAGACTGTCACCACTGCTCAGCTCCATGCAATGTACATTTTTTTTCCCCAGTACAGGGATCAAACTCAGGACCTTGGGCTTGCAAGGCAGGCACAGTACCACTGAGCTACATCCCGGTCCAAATTTACATTTATTAACCAAAAAAACATGGAAAAGTTATTGCTAGAAGACACAAAGTGACTAATACATTTTGGAAAAATTAAGCAGTCGACTGAGAATGGTACTTCAGGCAAGACTGCAGGACAAGGACTTGCACTGCAGTCATCCATCACCCGGGCAGGGGAGGTCCCCACGTGATCAGCAGTGCCCCTAGAAAGGGTCTCATGGCTCCCCTCAAGAAAAACGACATGAATTTGACAGTGTGGCAATTTCTGGGAAAACAAAGATGGAAGAACTTACCTGTGTCTCACCCAGTACATCCCGGTTTTCAATAGGAAATGGATTTTGTGAAATAGAAAAAGTGTAAACTGGATCCTTGGGGAAGGTTGTTGTGATCTAATGAAGAAAAAACACAACCAAAATAAAACTGCTGAAAACAACGTGGATATGCTCAGGTTCACTCAACTAGCCCCAGCAAATGCCAAGGTGAATCACACACACAAGGATTCTCAGAGTCCTACAAGCTCCATATTGAGAGTCAGTTAACTATTACTGTTGTCCCCAAGGGAGCATCTGAAGCTGTGACACTGGGAGACAAGCTGCACGCTGGGGCTAAGAGTCTTGCGCCACCTCACTCTGCCATGGATAGCAGAGAGCTTATGTGCCTCTGGCCCAAGCCAACAGCACAACTGGAAGGGAATGGAGGAGGTAGGAGCCATCTCAGGAGGTGCAAAGTTCACTTCCCTAGACTTGGAGGCCCACGTGGAGTCAGCTATGAAGCAGAGCAACTCCAGCAGGCTGCTGGGAAGCTGCTTGTGGAGACCATGCACAGGCATTGCAGGCAGGGGTGAGAATTACAGGCCCCCCTCTCCCGCAAAGAAGGGTGACCTAGAGTTGAAAGCTTTCATCAGAGGTGACCAAAGTCCTTCCTTCGGCTCCAACATCCTTTAAGAATGGCAGAGGGCATTTTAAATCCAACATGAAATCAATAGAAGCTATGAGGACAGTGGTGAATGTGAAGGCATCAACACAAACATAGGTTTTATTCCTCTCAGCAGATGCCTCAGCCCACAAAAGCTCCCAAGTGTGAGCAATCAACCACCTCTGGCTGACGTGGCTTTCCTCTGCATGCAACACTAGCAGGGGCAGGTCACACCCCATCAGATTTAGGGTAGCTATTGTGACTCCCGAGGGACTACTTCTAGAGAATGAAACATTGTCTGGTCTTTTCTGCATCAGCAAAGGCAGAGAGCTGTTTCTGCAGTCAGCTGTGCCAGCATCAGCACTCTGGAAAGATGAGCTGAAGAGGGCCTGCTGCTCCCTCAGACCATCCTGTGCAGCAGCAGGGCCACAGTAAGGACTTGGGCCATAGCGACCTGTGCTACCTATGGCTTTACTCTGCACATCTGGGAGACAGAAGTGACAGGAGTAGCTCTTTGAAGGGAAGATGCCCAGTGCAGGGTTGGTATGCATGGCACTCAGTCCTGGCTGCAGTTGTGGTAGGAGTGAGTGTGAGTGTGTGCCCATACTACAGAGACAAAATCCTGGACTGCCTGGGCTTTTCTTTTAGGAAGGCAGAGGCATGAGTGAAGGGAGAATTGCAGAACACACAACACCAAACAAACTAGTCAACCAAGAAAGGCATTTGCTGGTCCTTTAAGGGGTCCCTGGAGAATGACAGAATCAAAGTCTTTAGGGCCCCAACTGACCACCCCAAGGGTCCAGATCCTTTCTCCTGTACCTGAGCTCCTTCCCTCCCTACCCAGTCTGTCTTGGGGCTATGAACTGGACAATGCCCCAGTACCTCCACAAAAGCCCAGGAACACTGGTTTGTACTTTCCCCGACTGAAATAGCCACGCTTATCTTCAGGTTCAAGAATAGCAGCCAGGTATAGTGGCGCACACCTGTAATTCCATCTGAGGCAATAGGATCACAGGTTCAAGACTAGTCTGGGCAAATCAGCAAGACCATGTCTCAAAAATAAAACCTAAAAAGGGCCGAGGATATAGTTCAGTGGTAGAACGTTCGCCTAGCAAAATCAAGGTTCTTGGTTTCATTGAGTACCCCGCATCACCCCATTCCTGCCAGCACAGCAGATGGACCTGGCCCAGGTAGGCTAGGCAAGGAGCTGAACACACTTCTGTGGACTCCCCAGGCCTCCCCTCCACAGGAACAGAGAACTTGGGGTCCCAGGGCAGAATCCTCCCCGGCAACCAAGCGCTGCTGAAGAGCAAACTATGGCAAGAACTTCACATCCTATAGAAGAAGGGGTTGGGAGGCTAGGAAGCAGCTAAATCATGCCAACTCCCCCTGTGTATGTTCCATCAATCTGTTTTCATCTTAATTACACCCTAGGTAGTCTAAAAAGCAGATGCCTTTATAGCCTAGGTAATAAATATGTTCTCGGGAGCTGTCAATTGGAATACAGCATCGATGGGTTTGGCTCAGGGGATCCTCTGCTCCAAATGCAATGATATTTTACTGCCTGAATCCATGCCTGTCCTGAGCTGAAATACAGCCTGAATGGATCCTGGCACAAGAGCAGTGAAAGAAATGAGCTACCTTTGCCTCTGTGGACAGAGCTTGTGCAAGCAGAGACACCCTAGCTGCTGCAAGCACACCAGGTTTTGTCCTGCGGCACCTACTGCCCTGTGGCCAAGGGCTCAGTCACATCTTTGTGACCATGAGATGCCTCCAGAAACAAGAAGACATTCTGGGAAATGCAGCAGCAGAGCCATCATCCTGGCTCCTGGGGCTCCACCCAGGAAACCATGTTGACCTTCACTTAAAAGAAAATCATGTCCCAGGAGCACTATGGTTGTCACAGCCATACTCTGGCTAGACCAGTATCTGTGCATGCCGGCCAGCAGGGGGCCCCAGCCAAGCCCAGGTGTGGCAGGTCTATTGGGACACCCTCAGGACTCATCCCCAAGCAACCTACGCTCGATGCCTTTGAGAGACTGCTGGGCCAGGGGCAGATTCCTCTGCACTTCAGTATGGGGAAACTGAATCCCCAGGTTGTTTTCAAGGATATAAAAACCTGAAACCAACTCCACGACACATCCCTTGGCAGCACATGGGGCAGAGGTGCAGCTCAAAGAGCACTGCCTTCCCTGAGTGGCCCCCACCCAGCAGTCCAGACCACCAAGGCACCTGAAGGGCAGCCTGTGCATGGTGAGCGTGAAGGGCACTTACGTCTATGATCAGATACTCCACAGGTAGGGGCCGGGCCAGCTGGGTGATCTCGTTGCCAAACTTGTCTATATCCTGAAATAATCAAAGATGAATGGCCAATGAGTGAAGGAGACTAGTGACATAATGTTCCTTCCAGAACACCTCCCTCCTTCCCTCTCCCTCCCTCCCTCCCTCCCTCCCTTCCTTCCTTCCTTCCTTCCTTTTCTCACTTTGTAGTCCAGGCTGGCCTTGAACTCACTATGTAGCCCAGGCTGGCCTTGAATTTGAGGCAATCCTCTTGCTTCAGCCTCTCGAGTGCTGGGATTATAGGCATGCGCCACCACACCCCACAACAGCTCACCTTTTAAATTAAAATCCTTGTTGAAGTGCATAAAAAGCAAAAAGGAAAATGTATACATTTTTTGCAACCAATGCACTTGGCATCATTTATTAGAGCTTAGAGCTCCTCAAAAGAGACGAGCCATGTGTTTAGGCCACTGGGAGCCTCCAGAGAAGAGTGCTTCGGCCCCACCCCATTTGGGCTGGACCTGTGCCCTTGCACCTCTGCAGTCATTCTAAGTCCCATGTTTTGAATGTTAACTCCTAAAAACATTACTCGACCCTCTGAAAAAAACCCGACTACGGAAAGTGAGTACTTGTACCTTAGCAAAGATGTGCACAAATGAGTACACATACACACAAATACACAGGCATGGAAAACCCCTGCCACCAATCTGTCAAAGTCTAAACTTGTTTTGCTTTGTCAGATGCACAGAACATAAAGTTTAATTATGGGGAAAAACGGCCAGCATATGTTCATTAATCATAAAGTGACAATTAGATCTGATTTATGTCAAACATGCTGAGTTCCAACAGAGCTCTAGAAATAAATTCATCAGAACCAACATTTTTCATTAAAGATTCTACAGGAAGAGCCATATTTTCTATCTAAATCATCACTTAACATTATATAAATCATTCATTGAGCCATATATAAATTACACATCCATAATTTCCAATTACAGGCCCTTACATAAAAAGTTTACGTTTGTTTTTTTTTTCGGGGGGTACCAGGGATCGAACTTGGGACCTTGCTCTTCCAAGACAGGCTATATCCCTGGCCCCAAAAGTTGACATTTACTGACCCTCCCAGACCTGAACTGGTTGCCAAGCACATGTGTCCACAAGGCCACTCCTAGCACACCCACGTCATCAGGGCACACAGCTGCACTGACTTTTCAGTCATCACAAGCCACTCCTAAGTCCAGCCCACTCCGTCACCCTAATGGGACATCACTGAGTCCAAGTGGTCCTGTTCCTTGTGTTAAATTTCTGGTCTGCAATATGTCTCTGTTTATGTGCCCTCCCTCTTCTCTATTTGCCACCTCAAGTGCCACAAACAAGGACCAGCCCTTTCCTTTCCTCCAAGTGGGAACAATCCAAATACACCTAACCAGCTGGATGTACAAGAAGCATCAGCTCTGACTCCACTTTCATGTCAAGTCAGCTGTGCCCTCCCTGGAAATGCCACATCCCTGCAAATACAGACTTCGTTGCTTGCCCCTCCTGAAGCTGAAACAACTTTCTGCCTCACATGGTAAGGGTCATTTGTTCTTTGTCACACAGGAGGCCATGCGGTCAGGACAGCCTCCGTGTCCCACGGCTCTGCCAGATGAACAAACATCCCAAAAATGGGACTTGCTAAGTGGGGTGCTGTGCTGGGCCTCAAAGGAGGCAGTTTCTTGATGAAGGAGATATGATAGAAGGCAAGAATCAACCCAATCAAACTAAATCACCATTTCCAAAAATACATGCTTGCCCCTACAAGAAATAACCTGCAACAGCTCACACATAATTAGCCCATCTGGAATTCATCTTCAAATCTAATTAAGCTCTAATATGCAGAAACATTTTTCTAGCACCTGTTCACTTTAATCTTCCCCTCTAGGGAATTTTCTTGTTAAATGCCCCTCTCTTTTTTGTGTCATGCTAATCTCATTCAAATTTAACTATCCAACTGTACTTTCTCTGTTCCCCAAGAAAATAAAGGTGTTATATCCCCCTTTCTTCCCTGGGGGAAAAGCAGGTAACTTCTATCTCTCCCCCACGCCTTCACTCAAATGTTTTTGCCAGCCAATCCCTACCCCTACATACCATTTTTAAAGGCAATTACTTTTTATGGGCTTTAGCAAATGTCAGATGGAATGTGCTAGGAGGAAGATGTCTTAATTCTAACTCTGGCAGCTGCCAAAGTGTCAGCAGTTTTATCTCTACCTGGAGTGAGATACCAGGAGAACCAGAAACCATAGTCCCCCTGTGCCTCACTACCTGCCACAGGCCACGTCTGGAAACAGTAACACCATGGTCCTGACATCAAAGAAAAATGCAGAGCCTGAAGTCTTTGTGAGCCCTATGCACATGGGCTTATGGTAGGACAGCAGCAACTCTCATTGGCTGGTACCACTTTGCTTTAAAGACAGTGGGCCAAACTCTTGAGTGTATTGCTTCTCTGCTGAGAATTGCAGGAAGGGATAAGTCACACCATCACTTCATCTGACAAGTTCTCAGAGTACAGGGTAGTTCATGAAAATGCACCAGGCCTGTCAGAGGCAAATGGAAGCAACACCTGTCATTTCTCGGGCAACTGCTGTGCCTGGTCTAGGTTGGACCCCCATGCACAGGCCCACTTGGTCCTCCCAACTAAACACATCACAGGCACTGCTGTTGTGCCCAATGTTTGATGGGAAATGACAGCAGCTAGTAGATCCAGGAGAGCTGGAGCAAGCTCACCCACATTAAGAGCTGAGGTTCTGAATGACCCCACACTCTGTGCATTACACTAGTGCTGGGCAGTGGGGTAGAGCACATATATGGAAACCAAAGCCTCAGGCTCTGACCCTGACAGCTCATATGCCATCCCCACTGCAAGGGAAAAACAAAACTATGACTTCTGGGACCATGCTACTGCATTAAGATATAAGGAGACATGGATAGCTTGGTCTAGGTTAAATGTAGTGTTAGGTCAGCTGGACAAATATCTAAAATTAGATTCCTACCTTGTACCGATGCAATACTTGAAATGGTTAATGGATGTTAAAGTAAAATTACGGCTGGGCATGGTGACTCATGCCTGTAATGCCAGCACTCGGAAGGCAGAGGCAGGAGGATCACTGTGAGTTCGAGACCAGCCTGGAATATATAGTGAGTTCCAGGTCAGTCTCAACTACATAGTGAGACCCTGTCTCAAAAAGCAAACAAACAAAAAAGTAAAATTACATCATAAAAGCACTAAACAGTATTTAGGTAAATATACAGTTTGGAGGTAAAGAATTATTTTGAATATTTGATAATAAAGACAGAAATAAGAATAAAAACATATGAAAGTATCTTTGAAGTCAGAAAATAGTCTAGTTCTTCTATGTAAAAATTACAAAGAAAAGGAAAACCTGGCATGTCTTTGCAACATAGGACAAAAGGCTAATGAAGACATTGCCAATGAATGCAGAAAACCATGAACCATCTTATGAATAAGCACATGAAGAGGAGAGAGATTCACAGTGAAAATCATCAAAAGGGCCAGGCATGGTGGCACCAGTCTGTAATCTCAGCACTCTGGGAGGATAAGACAGAAGGATCACAAATTTGAGCCCAGCCTTGGCAACTAAATGATTTAGCAAGATCCTGTTTCAAAATAAAAAATGAAAAAGGGCTGGGAGCGTAGCTCAGGGCAAAGGCCCTTGCTTTTTTGTTTTTGTTTTTCTTCTTTTCTTTTTTGAGACAGGGTCTCACTATGCAGTTGAGACTGACCTGGAACTCACTATGTAGCCCGGGGCTGGTCTCGAACTCACAGCGACCCTCCTGTCTCAGCCTCGAGTGCTGGGATTATAGCTTCATTAAATTTTTAATACTGTTTTTTAAGAAAGGGAGACAGAGAAGAGGAGAACAGGAGGAAGAGAAGAAGAAGAAAAGAAAACGGAGGGTGGAGGAGAAAAGTCAAACACAGAGGACTCCCTGCGACAGAGCCAGCAGACAGTGAGGGCTGGTCTGCAAATTGTCTTCCTGGAGGAAATCTGGGAGAGCACAGACAGCCCTTACCATATGTGGTGGCAGTCAACAAAGTAATCCTGGTCTGAAAATGTGCCCCAAGTAATTAGGAACATACAGGAAGAACTAGTTTTGGGATGGTCCATCCAGCCTGAGCTCCCAGTCCTCAGGATGCCCTTTCTCCTGCAACAGCCAACACCAGGAAAGAGTGACAGCCCTCCCCGCACTCTGATGCCCATTCTCCCAAGCACTGACAGTCTCAGGACCTCAGCACCATCCTTTCCTGCTGGGACACCACCTCTCCACGAAGCCCAACATGATCCCTGCAGGGCAGAGTCTATGGGTCTGCCTGACCCACTTCCTCTGAAAACTTCAGCTGGCCTGGGGGCGTTAGCCTGGGCTTTTCTAGTCCTAAGCCTGACATATCGACCTATGTCTCTTGTCTTAGCTTCCTAGCCTCACCAACTACCCACAGGCTTATACAAAGTCCCAGTTGATATTCAGACTCTTCATGTCCTCCCAAGACCCAACTCTCTGCGCTGGCCCCCACCTGTGTTTCTCCCTGAGATCTGCTAGTTCCTGGACTCCCTATATCCCTGCACAAGCTCTGCACAGCAAAGGGCTCAAGAATCACAGCAACACTGCACTCCCCCATTCTACCCTGCACCCTATTGAAGGCCTCACCTCTCTCAGCCCCCACGACCAGTATCCATCCAGTGCACTTCCTAACTGGATATGGGTGCTAATCTAGCCCTCTGCATTGGGTGCTTGGACTATCGCCAAGCCTCTTCCTCCAGACCACTCCTCATGCCACATCCAGCAGGACATGTTCCAGGACCCACCTTCCATGACTCTTTCCACGTCTTCCTTGCCCACCACCAACCAACCTCAGACAGGCTGATCCCCGCAAGCATAGCACTCCCTGGAAGTGTGGACAAGTGGAGCCCATGCCAGCCCAGCTCACCTCACGCTCACAGCTGCACCAATATGTGAGGAGAGGGGTTCGTAGAGGAGGACCCAGGGCCCAGGGCAAGCACTTAGCACACAGG